ATAAATTAACGATTGAAAAAAGCAAACACAGCAATGTGGACTTTATGGGATTGACAGACTACAACTCGTTCCGCTTTCAAGAAACATGTTCATTGTGATGGTAAAGATAGCACAGAGACAGCAGGAATGATCACCATATTTGCTCTATTAGAAGCACATTTCGATAAAGATAACCAAAAATTAGATTTATTTTAAATTAGATTACTGAAATTTAAAAATAGTTTGACACAGACACATGTCTGTCATGTACAGCACATACACTGTAGGCTATTGATAAAGAATGTACAGTATTTCAACTGCAGACACACCTCAATATCAGGGGTTTTTCTAGAAAAAAAACTGCAAGAGGGAGCACTGCAGTTCAGCGGAGCAACCAAGTGGGAGAGATGGGGTTCTCCATACCAGGGTGTTGAGTTTTTGATAATTCTAAGTTAAAATGGAGCATTCTATGGCTTCCTTTGGGCCAAAATTACTATCAGACAGGTCACAGTTGCAGACTGTGGCCACATGTGATCCTTGGTCATTCAGAATTTCATGGTTGCCAGAGGATCTGCTCCCCAGGGTAAGGTGGCGCATGACCATGGCATGAGGGCACTGCATCCCTGTTCCATTGTTTAAAAAAAATTTCCTGATCATCTACATACATTATAATGTAAGCAACTGTAATACTAATAAAGGAAATATGATATATTAATATTTGTAAACTACATTTCTATCATTTTTAACACAACAGTCAATAGTATATTCATTCATATGATTGTAAATTGGATTAAATTTTTTTTAATTTCAGTGTATCGGTTTTAGTGACCATACTGCAGCACTGGTAAATAATATATTGGCCCATATTTCTAGTCAATTTGTTTTCCATGCAGATATTTTCAATTAATAATTTTCAGTTTTATTTTTTTTTTGAAACTAACATTTTTTTCAAAAAGCTGTGCTGTATACTGATGTGCACACTGACGATAACAAGCTGTGCTGCATACATGAGAGCATTTTATCATATACCTCGTATTGCTTGGCCTCGTAACACTATGGGAATCCTGATGCGTGAGCTGTGCAATAATTATCCATATCACGCCCGGACCCATTTACCATATTTGGTAAATGCATCTATTTCCTAGAACTGCTTTCTGTTTACAAACAAAGCGCGTAATTTGAGTCTGCGCTTCGATAACGGCTGGCGATATTATTCAGTAGATGGGAAATATACCTAAAGATCAGTTGGACTCATTATCACCTTGATGAAAGCCGGCATTCCACCACAACCAATCATAAAGATAACTGTTCACAAAATCGTCAAGTTTACAGCACTACGATACTCACAGTCAGCTGGCATCGGTGTCGCTGGATACAGCCAGCAACATCGATGCCAACTAACTGTGACGATACTGTCTCCACGGAAGATCATCGACGCATTTCAGATATTCTTAGTTGAGCTGCTAGAATCTAGAGCTGTAAACCAAACTGCTTCTTGCCAAGCAATTGTTTCTCGTTCACCGACTACAGTTTTAAACAACTGTGAAATCAACATGTCTCTACCTGCGGCTACAACTTCAGGTCCAAAAAAACGTCCGTTGTCGGACGGTCAGTAAATGACCAACTTAGCTGGACTGTATTGTTCATTCTTAAGAAAGAAAGCATATAATGAGTTTGTATTTATTACCGTTGAAATATTGTTATACATTCATTTGCTGTCTTATTAAAACGATATTTGTGGATATATTTGGCGACATTCGTTTGTGTATTGTGTGAGAGTTGTTAACACGTTTGCATCGTTTAGAATCCCCCGTATAAATCTGCGCCAATAAAACGGCCTGTATCGAAAACCGGATTAAATCTAATAGGTTTTCTTTTGAGCCAGATGAGCGAAAAATAACATAACTAAAGACATTTTTTCATATAAGGTATATGATAAAACCCTTATGGACTGAATACAGCTTTTGCAGTCCGCGATTGTACGGCTTACACGCCCTCGCAAGCTTGGGCTCTTCCGCCACACGACCTCGGGCTGCAAAAGCCGTATCCAGTCCATAAAGAATATTATCAGAGCTCTGTGGCCAAGTTCAGCTTCAATAAACCTTTGAGGTTGAGCTCTGATAGTATTAGGCCTGACATGGCTTCGATCGTGTAAATGCCCAACCATCTCTTCCGACCAATGACTACTACACCTGTATGTGTATGTTGCCACACTGTGCAGACAACTGTAGATTAACACCCATGATTGCAAATATAAGAGTTATTCGATGGCGACGTTGGGCAAAAATCATTCGCTGCATTCTTGTTCGTCTTCTTTGAACATACCTGTTTCTCAAGAACTATATATCCTGCATTGGCCTTCTCTTACATGCATTGTGCCATCTAAAGAACAACAACACAAGCATGACACCTGTCATACTAAGTAGTTGAGAGCGCTGTTCCATTGGGTTTTGACTGGATTGAACTCTGGCAGATCTCGGCTCTCATATTCAAATCTAATAAAGGTTCATACCAAATATCAAAGCAATTGGAGCAGAGGTTTTCAAGAATTACAAAAATATTTGTTGAAACAAGTCTTTTTTAATGACACAGTCCCCGTCCAAAATGTTGTGATCTGACATATCAATTTGATGCTGATGAAGTCATTGAGATTAGATTGAAACCATTAATAGGAGATAGATTTGTAAAAAAATATGATTTACCAGTAGTGCTTTTACATGAGAACTGGACATTGGGCAGTCATATTGAATCAAATTACAAAAATAATGTTCATGTTTGTACAAAATTTAAACAGAAATGTTCATTGCATTCAAGATAAAGTAGCATGGGTACCATGAAAAACAAGATGGCCGCCAATCGGGCATATTTGTTCGAATCACCTACAACCCAATACGTATGATCATCATACCAACTTTGATTCAAATCGGCCCAGTCATCTCCGTGAAACTGCTGCGAACACGTTTAGGTATCAGAAATAGCAAATTTTACATTCAAAATGGCCGCCAGTCGGCCATTTTTTCTCTGATCATAAAGTAACTTGACGTGCATATGTGAGACATTATGTATTGTCTTCAAAAGAAGTTTGAATGAAATCCGTTAATGGGTGTCCAAGATATAGCGGGTCCGAACGGGGACTAATTAGACAATTTAAGATATTGTCAGAAAATGTTTAAATCTAATAGAGGTTCACCCAAGGTATATGTAAGTATCAAACCAAGCGGCATAGAAGTTTCCAAGAAAAAGTAAAAAAAAAAACATTTTTGATTAAAAGTTAATTGAAGATAACGGCACAAAATGAAACATACATGTACATATCAAGTATACAATCAGCCTGTCGGCTGAGATAGCTCCGCTGTTAGCAATGCACATTTCAATTAAAGAACAGAAGATATCATTTGAAAATGAACAATATGTATAGTATCAAAGCAATGGGACTTGTTGTTTTCAACAAGAATGACAAAAATATTCACCAAAATTAGAGAACTGAAGATATCATTACAAAATGAACAAATCTGAGAGAGGTTCACATGTAGTACCTATATATGTAATATCAAAGCAATTGGACTTGTGGTTTTTAACAAGAAGTTGAAAATATCACTTTTTACCAAAAATTACAAAAACATTCACCAAAATTAGAGAATTGAAGATATCATCATGAAATGAACAAACCTAAGAGAGGTCTACCCAAGGTACATATACACCAAGTATCAAAGCATTCAGGCTTGTAGTTTTCAAGAAGAAGTCGAATAAGTAAAACATTGACACGGACGTCGGACGCCGGACGCCGGACAATCACTCATATGATAAGCTCCGTTCAACAAAGTCGACAGCGGAGCTAATAAAGCTCACTGAATACTTCCAAAGAGAAACTATAAAAGTAATCTTATTTTATGGTTATTTCCCCGTACACAGAAGTATGCATCATACTTTACAACAAAGTGTGTCTCACTTAAACACGAGGTCACTCGGAGTCAATAAGAATAGCTAATCTATCAATTGTATCAAAATACTATTTAATATAATGTAATTGAGTTTAAAATTAACCTGTAATTAGATCGTTATTAGGCGTAGTCCGATGTGACAAAAACTTATCACACGGCTTGCGTAAACAACCCCCAATGCACTCTTGGTGACCCCATTGCAGTAAATAGTAAGCAATATGGTGGGTGCCGTTTTTCAAATTTTGAGTTCCTTGGCAAGTACTTTGTTTGCTGTGTTACTGAGCACATATGTGCAGGCTTTTAGCTAGCCATCTGTCTACCTGTCATCTTAGACAGACGTTCCACATTTTAGAAAGTCACAAACCTGTCAACTTTAACAGTTTTACAAAATAAATAATAGACTACAGTGTATGGCTGTAGACAAGGAACAAGGGAATAGGGGCGCAGCGACCTCATGCCATGGCAACCATAAAATTCTGATTGAACAGGGATCACATGTGGCCACAGTCTTCAACTATGACTTGTCGGATAGTAATTTTGGCCTCAAGGAAGCCATAGAATGCTCCATTTTAACTTAGAATTATCAAAAACTCCACACCCTGGTAGGAAGAACCCTATCTCTCCCACTTGGTGACGCCACCGAATTGCAGTACTCCCTATTGCAGTTTTTTTCTAGAAAAACCCCTGTATTATATTGCATTTCAATATTATTTTAAATAAGAACTTCACATTTCAATTCGAGATGGTTATAACAAACCCCTTTGTCGCAGTTTTTCACAAGTTTAACATACTTGTAACATTGTTCCCAAGAAAAATTTGACAAAAAAAAAATAACACATTTTCAGTATTTTATGAATATTTCGTAAACTTTCAAAGATAATATTAATGCATACGATACAGAATTAACATGTGCAATACAAAACTGAAGCTGGTATAGCAAAAAATAAATTTGCATAAATTTGCATACTCTGCTGACTAAACATGAATTAATATTACCCCCACCCCATCTTGTGCATGGTAGAGCTTAGCAACTAGATAATATAAAACTTCTATATTTGTGACAATTAAGTATTTACATACCTTCAAGTTTCATGCCCTGATGAAGACACTTCTGGAATCGACACGATGCACATCGTTTGCGATTCGCTAAACTGATCTCACACTTATTATTCAATGCACAGCGCAGACGTTCATGACGTTTATTCTGAACAGTTCTCTTGAAGAATCCTTTACAACTTTCACAAGAAAATATTCCGTAATGATACCCAGATATTTTATCCCCACACACTGGACATGGGCCTTTCAAAATTTGGCCTCTCTCAGCTTCATCCAACATCAGTGGAATTTTATCACTGACATTCTGGCACTCGTATGTGTCTTCTGGCTCTTTTTTGATATTTTTAATTACAGTAATCAGTGTACTTTGTGTGTCTGTGTCTTGACCATTAGATATAGTTTCACTGAACTCGTACGCATCATTCTCATTACTACTCGGAGAGCAGCGATTATTTTGTGTTTTTTCCAGGGAAGTACAGATTGTCGGTTCAACACTGCGATATAATTCGACATCACGATTTGACTCAAATTTCTTTCGATCAGATACCTCTTCTTTGTCAGATATCTCCATCTTAACGTTGATTACATCACTTACAGTTTTATCAGCGATATTAACATCAGGCTCGCCAGTATCCGGATCCACTGTTGTGTACTTGTCAACCTTCGTGAAAATATTGCGGTAAAAAGAATCATCCGAAACACCGGTCTTGTAACTGTTACAATATCCATGATTCCAATCATGTGGCATCTGCTGTTCTTTCATTTTTGTGAAATTAAATGATAGTTGACCGAGATCTGTTTGAATTTTACGTTTGGTTTCCTTGGTTACTGTGTGTGCGGCCGAATTAATATCCTTAATATGTACGTCATTTATAGAATGACTCGACACCACTTTGTTGGCTGAATCTAGGTCACTACATGGCCTTGATGAATTCCTGATACCAAAATATTCTCTTTCTTTTTCTTCACAACCAGTTGCTGCTTTTGGTGACTTCCTATGTTCAGTTGGTTTTTTAATGGACACCTTCTTCAGCAATCTTGGCATGGGTTTCGTAGGAGTTGTTGTTGGAGTTGTTGATGTTGAATCGGAGACTGTAGTCATCGACCTATTCAAATTTCTATGGCAGTCTGTAAATGGATGTGCCTGGGGAGACTGGTTCCCCCAACTTGGTGATAATTGTGAATAGGCACTATACTGGTTTAGGTTGTTTGTTAAACAAATCTCAAGGTCATTCAGAAATGGTTGAGAGCTGGTGACTTGAATGGGAACACGTTCTTTTTCATTAGTACAACAAAGCTCACTTTCTGAACTGTACTCTGGGCTTGAAGGATCAGGGAAAGACAGGCTGTTGTGAGAGAGCTCTGACTCGCAGCTTTCTGAAGAACCAACGGAATCAAGTGATTGTACAGATAAGGGATGTGAAAAAACAGTTGGCAACAGCAGTGGTTTACAGCTACACTCAGATGTTGAATCAGCACCACACGCAGATGAAACAGACGAGCTGTTATAATTTCTGTCTGCTTTCAACCACCTCATTTTCTTGGGTTGAGCTACAAGCATAATTTCTTGGGTGTTTTTGCTATCGCTGTAATCACTCATTTTCACAATCCGATGTATTTCTTTTCAAGCAATACAATCACCTACGGAATAACCAAATCAAACAGTGATGGTTTCATGTTCACAGTCATTATTTTTTTTATTGTAATAATAATAACCTTTTCAAAACCAGTTCCCTCTTTTCGAGGAAGGCGTGACATTGCACTTTTTAACGTTATCCGATATTATTGTCTAAAAATGTCTAAGTTAGACAGGTCTGTCTGGGCAACTATTGGGACAGTTTGTTTTTCTCTGATATTATCGATAATATCATCTAACAATGTCTTAAAATGTATAAGTTAGACAGGTCTGACTGGGCAACTATTGGGACAGTTCGTTTTTCTCCGATATTATCGATAATATCGTCTAACAATGTCTAAGTTAGACAGGTCTGTCTGGGCAACTATTGGGACACTTCGTTTTTCTCCGATATTATCGATAATATCGTCTAACAATGTCTAAGTTAGACAGGTCTGTCTGGGCAACTATTGGGACACTTCGTTTTTCTTCGATAATATCGTCTAACAATATCTAAAAATGTCTAAGTTAGAAAGGTCTGTCTGGGCAACTATTGGGACATTTCGTTTTTCTCAGATATTATCGAAAATATCGTCTAATAATGTTTAAGTGCGTGTCTACCTTAGACATTCTTAGACGATAATTTCGATATTATCGATAATATCGTCTAACAATGTCTAAAAATGTCTAAGTTAGACATCTCTGCCAACATTTCATTAGATTTTATTAGACGATAATTATCCGATAATGATTTATATGACATTGTCATGCTTCATGCTCTTTTCATCACAAAATAGTCCCATTTATAGTCTGCACTTTCCCTCAAAAGATTGGGACAAAAATAGACAAATTTTTTTGAGTAAAAACTGAAAATTTTAAGAATGTGTCTGTTAGCTCGAAAATTAGGGTTAATTTCCAAAAATATTGAAAAATATAAGAGAAAGTGCAGACAAACTTAGACGGCTGGTGAAAAGGTTACTGCATTGTTATTATATATCCGTCTTTACATTTCATAAAAACACTGATGTTGAAATTAGAAATAATCAGAATAAAACTTACAGGTTCAAGGCAGCTGATAATTTTTTTTATATTGTTTTCTATTAATTTCTTTTTTGATTCTTCACTGTATTCACATTGTCAAGTTATATTTTTCTTTTTGAATGATGAATTTCTTTCATTTTTTTTATATAGTTTTCACATTTTAATAAAGAGTGCTTTTCATCATCAGTTTTGTTTTCTTCACGTACCGTCACTTACATCTTAGTGTTTGTAGAACCTTAATGTTAATTTGTATGGCACTTGTTTATAATTTCGCTACTAAAGACTGACCTCTGGTTTATTAGTTTAATTATAAATAGGTAATTTTTATATGGCTATAGATTTTTAGTTTAAGGAGGGTCAAGCCAAGTTAAAGATTATGCTATTAGGATACCGAAAATGAAAAACAAATTTGAGTCACTGAACAAAAAACAGCATTTTTACACTGAGTTCTATGGCGAAATTATTTATTCATTTAACAAAATTTTTCTCAGTGACATGAGATGAAAATATTTATTATTATTGATGTGAATCCTAAAATTGTGAAAACATTTAAACAAATTGAGTTTTTTTTAGGTGATAATACAGAGGTTTTTCTAGAACAAATTAACAAGAGGGAGCAGACACAGGCGGATCGACCTGGAAACGCCATATCAGAAGGTTTATTCGGTGTATTTATCCCCATTGAAATATTTTTGGAGTAATTTCAGTGTTTTTTTTGGTGTCCAGACACATTGTCAGCTGGTGTTGCTGGGAAGTTTTTATGAATAAAAATATATTTTAGAAAGATTTCATGTTGTACGGCAGCACGCGGCTCAAGAAATATATTTATGACTTGAAAGTTCAATTGACAATTTGGTAAGAGGGTGCCAGCCGAGAGTATGCGGGCACTGCGCTGCGCCCCTGTTCCCTGGTTTAGAAAAACCCCTGTAATAGTTTTTTCATTATATACGTGCAGTAACATGCTCAGTAGTGCAAAATTTGAAGTTATCTCCCATAATGCATTGCATTTACGTGCAATAACATGCTCAGTTGCGCAGAATTTGAAGTTATCTCCCATAATGCATTGCATATACGTGCAGTAACATGCTCAGTTGTGCAAAATTTGAATTCTATGCCATGTTCAATGAGTTTCCTTTGTTGATTTTTGGCCAGTAGTTGATCGTATGTTTTGTACGTGATAGTATAAGGGGTTGTCTGCCTTGTTTCAATAGACATTTTACCAGTAGTACATTTTGTATGTGTTTGCAAAATTTGTTCTGAAGCTCCTTGATTGAGAGTAATTGGAATGTAGGAAACAATTAATCCTAATTTCACTACAATATAGTAGAATTGGTCTAACCATACTATACAAGATTTATACGGAGAGTTAGCAAATTCACTAAAAAAGTCTCTATGAACATTGCAATATAGTTAGGGACTTTTCTATCAGTGTTATTAAATAATCTAATAATATGAAAACAATTTCCTACATTTAGTGACAATCTCACTTCCCTGGCGTCACTTGATTTTGGACTCATTAATTTTTGTCTTGGTACGTACTAATTAGCTAATACCATGTTCACACGTGTGCCACAGAGCTGGCTCGGGCAACCCGGAATGTGTTACTACAGTGCCTTGCATGAGTGCACATATGGAGTATAACATAAACATGCATGATATTGTGCTTGTTGATGTACCAGTCAACGTCACAAAAATGAAATTCTCTTTCACCGAATGTCAGCATGTTTGTATTTGCTGCCATGACAAAAGCAGGCGTTTTGCTTTCCCCACAGTCTTGCTATATCCGAGAAAATGGTGCTATAGCGCCCTCATGCTGCCAGGTTGACAAAACTATTTGCACAAATTCAATTTTCATAATTTATTGGCATCTAAATTCTAAAATCATAGAAAGCATTGAGGTGTGCTGTTCATCTTTCAACAGCTCAACACTAATTTAGGTTCTAATAAAAACCAAACATCATGCGCAAATTACGAATGTCACTAAGTACGCATAAAAATAACACACTATTTGAGATGCTATGAGCATATTTTACTTATTACACAGTTTAGATTATAATCACGCAAAATGACAGAGATTTTGACTGACTTTCAATTATCTAGCAACAAATTAAACAAATCCCTTATTTTTTTTTTGTAATACCCGAGATATAAACTCTGAAAACTGGTTCGGTCTTATTTTTTTTTTTTAAGTACTAGCCCAACAACATAATGACAAATATCAACTGCATAAAAGCACAATTTAAATGGCGCCAGTCGTCGTGCCGCGTCTCGTTTGATATGGAACTCATAGTGATGTGTACAACGCGTGTAAAATACATTGTTTATTTACACGAAATTCAAACACGCGCTGCGCGACGACCACCGCGCTTTACCCCTACATGTATATAGTGCTATCACTTTTCACAAAGAACAGTTGTATATCCTTTTGATTTATTGCCATGGCGACAAATATCCTGTTAAATTCTTTAGGGCCCACATTTGAATTTGTTCACATTTTCTGCCATTTTCACTGAATTCAATCTAAATTTTGAGCCAAACAGACAAAATGTGACATCACTTTTAGCTTTTGACTATAAATAAAACTATATTGTGGATTATATTTGAGAATCAGTATCATGGGTTGTTTTATATCAGAAAGCTAAGGGGTCAGATTAGTGTTACACTAAAAGACACAGAGGCTTCCAATTCTACTATTCTCCAGAATCATAGTAACCCAAATGAGAGGGTCGTTCCCTGCGTACACGCGGGAATTGAGTCCCAAGCAATGATAACAACACACACTAAAGTGCAAAGGCTCGAGGGTAGATGCTTATTTGTAAACAATGACACGCTATGGCCATCTGACGCATGCGCAGGTGACGACACTCGCGCTTTAAAACGATCTATGGTTATCCTACTCCATGTGAGTTGTTATTTCCATGTTTTCACAATTGTGTGCATGGCTTTGAGTAATTACAGTACTACAGTACCTATCATCAGTTTTTGAAATTAGTATCTACTCAAGCCCCCACCCCCCACCCCAATGGTGAAGTCAAGCCCTGAGGCTAAATATAACCATACAACAGGTGGTTTTTGTCTATAGTTGACGACGTGCAACGTGTAATGATAAGTAATATTACACATACCTAAATCTCACTGCAGTCGTACCATGCAACCATTTGCAGGAATTCTAAAATAAACATAAATATAACATTTACTTTAGCATAAAAATATCAACTAGATAAACGTCACTTAAATCAATAAAATTAAAGTAAAATCGAAATCAAACACCATAGTGACTATCATTTCAAAGTGGGAAAGGGATTAAGAACAGTGTTTGATCTGAGACACGTCTTCAGTTCATGCACGGTTCAGGGAAGAAAATTAATGCAGTGGAGAGGGGACTGGGGGAAAGGTATTCGGTTCTATAGTCTGGACTCATCAAGCTTACACAGGGTTCAGTTTACTAACATCACTATATTGTGCAAGGAATAAAACTGTATTGACCGTTATTATCTTTGATTAATATAATTCACAAGAGACAAAGCTGAATTTGTCCAGTTAATAATTAATCACGTGATACCGATTGAGTACAATCAATAATTAACGATTAACTTTTAATTGAAAACAAATCCTTAGGTCAAACACAGTCCACCTTCTAGAAATAAGTAATTATTATAAATGAACTAACTCTGTCATACCATGAAGGTAATCTTTTTTTACCCCTATGGACACACATAGTAATTACTGAGCTGAAAACAATTAACATACAAATGTATATTTTTGATCGTTTCATATCATGTTGGTATGGCAACAAATTCTGAAAAATTCACATAATAAATATTAGAGCACTGAAGTTACAAATGTAGTGTAGTTGAACTGAAGGTTGTAGTGTTTAATCACCAAATCAATTTTTCATTGTTGTAATCATTAAGGACCTCGCTTTATTTTAGGAAATATTCTAA